ACACAAAAAAAAACAATCACGCATGCAGTTAACCCATTTCAAGTCTGGTTCCAAAACGCATGATCGCACCGGCTCGCCTGGTGCGTTCCAGCCTGGGTTTTTATTCGTAAGTTCAGGTCTGCTTTAGATTGTTTTTCTTTGTAACGTTCTTTCACTGCTGCTTCCAGTTCTCGCCTCGAACTGTTGACTAGTACTTTTGTTCCCCTTCTCTATCCCATTCCCAATTCCTACTTCTGGGGCAGCATCTGGCCTCGTATCCAGCCCCATATAACTGCATCCTCGACTAACCATCATCTCAGTCCTCCGCCCGATCTCGGGTTTCTGCGGTTCAAACCATCTCCCTCTTCCACCCATCATCCGTCAACCACGTCACCCAACCATTGAGCGCTGGGTAATACCCAGAGAATGCCACTCAGCGCTCGGCGGCATCATGCCAAACAGCGCCGGCAACCGACACCCAAGGCAGTGTTGGTGTCTCACTAGCACAGAAACGAGCGCGTTCCTCAAGAGCCGAGCCCAGCTCCAAGAAGTAACTAAACTTCGGCTCGGTTCGGCCGGCGCCATACACAATCTGCGAGTTTTTTCTGTCGACTGCCGGTGTTCTTACTCCGTCACAATATGCGTTCTTGCATCCGCACAAACATACAAAAACGTATAACGAGCAAACAGGAAATCACATTTATATAATTACGGCATTGAATGAACCACAAAAACAAATGCATAAAACAAACATTTGACATAAAAGCAGCAATAAGTTATAACAATTTTGGAGGGTGATGAGACTCGCCGTGTGAATGAATATTCCTGCCCTACCAGTGAGCAAGAGAGGGAGAAACAACCCAATGACGAGCAAACTGGACGAGTACGACTAGGACAGAGGCGGGTGCTTGCCAGGCAGCACAACACTGTTATTCACTGAGGTAGCTCTGCACGATAAAAAAAGCTTACATGGTTTTGATTGCGCGTCAACAACTGAATATGTAGCTTTTTTTTGTCTCCACGCAAAGCATTTGAGTGGACGTTAGTCCCACAAGTGAGCGTGAAGTTTGATTACGGTGAAAACAGATAACTCCAATCCCAGCAGCCGATGTGCAGAGGGAGAGGCGTGTGAGTTACTGCCAATAAATGCATGGTGCACGAATCACGCGAGCACCTCCCTACAGTTCCGAATGCTCCTCTTCCACTTTTGTCCTCTCCGTCTCATCGATGTCCTCGCTGCCTTCCTCTTTGCTCTCTTCTGCTTCAACCTCAGGCTCTTCCTCCACTGGCTCATCTAATGACATTTCCATTGCTTGTCGAAGAACCTTAAAAAGAAATACTTGACAAAGATCGTGGTTTTAGTTAAATTTGGGTCTGATGGGCAGAACAACTGGACATACCTGTTCAATTCTTTCGGCGAATCCAACCTGATCTTTCAGAGTGAATCCTGACCGCAAAGTAGCTGTCTCGAAGAGCAGCTTGGCTGCATCAGTTGCTTGCTTATCATTTTTATCAGCTTGAACACGGCGGAGTAGCTCCTTGACAACAGGATGGCGTGCATTGACTTCTAGCGTCTTTTTTTGGTTCGCATAGAAATCCTGTAAAACGAATTCTTTATGACGCAATGACCAAAATGAGCAGCTTGTGACAAAACCAAGATACCTGAGTCGGATCGTACGATTTCGCATGTGCCTGAGATTTCATTATTCGTTCCATGTTGCCAGACCAGCCGTAGGAGGATGCCACCAATGCACATGGTGAGTTTACCAAGCGCTGCGAGACAACAGCCTTCTCAATCTGATCCTAAACACAATCACTGAGCGGACAGCCCCAGGAAATTCAACCAGAGAAGAAAATCCCAAAAACATAACACTTGTTAAATAGCCTAGATTTGCAATCATGCCAATTAATAGCGCTTATGCTCAGTCATAAAATGTAAATAATTGGCCAACGCACGGGCTACCCGTGCGAAGATGCGTTTTTTGCATAGCTCCACGCAGATTTTTGTCGTTAACGACACTGGTTTTTCTAGCAGAAGCTTCTAACTAAAAGAATTTCAGAGTGGCCCGGCAGGACTGTCAGAAAACATTCCTTCAAAATTCCAGCCTTCTAGCTTCTCACGTTCCCGAGTTAGCAACTTACCCGAAAAAAATTTTCACTGGCCGGTACGTAGGTGCCGCGTTTACCCGCGGGTTGGGTTTGAACTCGTTAATACCCACTTGGACGGGGGAATCACCTTAAGATTTCAGCGTTCTAGCTTCTCAGATCCCCGAGTTATGAACTTACACGAAAAAATTTTGGCGGGCTCGTACGCGGGTACCACGCTTACCCGGGAGCTGGTTTTGAGCTCATTAATACATACTTGGACGGGGAACATCCCCTTAAAATTTCAGCCCCCAAGCACTTCTGGCCCTCGAGTTAGCAACTTACCTGTAAAAAATTTTGGTGGGGTCTTACGTGGATACCACGCGGGTAATGGCGCCCATTTTGGGGTTCGGGGCCCGCACGTGCATGTAGATTAAGTTCCCAAAGTTTCAGCCCTGTAGCTTTTGTAGGTCTTGAGATGAAAAAGCGTGACAGACGCACACACAAACAACCTCTCGTAAATATGAGTTTTCTGCATTGCATAGCTGCAAAAAACGCATAAAAATACAGTACGTACACAGTCAAATTACTGGAACCTTCTGGAAGTTCGCCAAGTCTACGACTTACCTTTAAAGCAGTATTCTTTAACCAGTTTGTCAGCGGCTCAAAGTCTTTCTCTAACTGCTCCTGGATTTCTTTATCCTTTTCACCGTCGTCAAGTTTCAAGCCCTCTTTAGCAACATTTTGGAATTTCTTTCCATCGAACTCAGGCATTGCTTGAATCGCATATTCATCAACGGCTTCTACCAAGTACAGCACTTCGTATCCCTTCTTAAGCAATCGCTCAACAAAAGGCGATGATTCCACCTTAAATATCGAACTGCGTTAAAAAATCCATCATTAATGAAGTTTTCTTACTAGTTTCTGGAGATGTTTAAAAATTGGCTGAACAGATGCACAGTTTTTTAAAGCAACTAACAATAATTGATGAAATAATAACCTCTTCCCGTGACATTCCGGCAACGTAAAAGATTACGTCCTGCTTATCCTTCATTCGTTTGACATATTCCGCAAGTGACGTCATTTTACCCTGGAATGGTCTGGCCATTTAAAGGACCAATAAGCAAAAGACTTCCGGCAAAAAATGATACGATTGGAACTTCAAAATAACAATAACTAAAAAAAAAAACATAACAAGGACTAGCTTATGGCAATCCAAAGTATGAGCAAAGTGTTGAGTGTGAAATGTCTAGCAATCTATACATAAAAACATGTAGCAGAGAGCGCCAACATGGCCTACCTTGCTATGCGAAGAATAAAAGCGCAGCAGCTTTGCAAGACGTGTCCTATTCGATGGGTCTTCCATAATTCCCAGCTTAATGTTTGTGCTATATTCTTTCCAAAAGTCCTCAAAATCACCGGGTTCCATCTTCTTGAACATATCGAGCACCTTTCTCACCAGCTTTTTTTTGATGACCTAAAGCAATTCAAATAAATGGCAACGCGCACCAAACTAGTCGGTGGGATCATGCGTTTTCTGCACATCGTTCATCGAACGATTGCTTGTTAACGATTTTCACTGCTTTGTACTTCAGTCTGTGCAAAAGTAGTTGAAACGTCGAAAAATAGTTAAAAATTTCACAAACCGACACATGAAATCTCACGTACCGGTACTACAGTAAAACTGCACCTTCTTGGCTTTTATGGCTCCTGAGACAATAAATTCCACGCAAAAATTTTCACGGAACCATAGCTGATACCCGACAGTGCGAGAACGCTGCATTTAGATTTTCAAGGTTGTACGTGAGCAGCGGGTCACTGCTCTAAAATTTTAGCCCCTAGATTCCGTGGTCCCCGAGGTAATAATTTACTCGCCAAAATTTTCATGAGACCGTAAGCGGTATCCGAGAGTGCGGGAATTTTCAAGGTCGTACGTGGACAAGGGGTCATTACCCTAAAATTTCAACTTCGTAGATTTTGTGGTTCCCGAGATAACAGTTTACCCGCCAAAATTCTCCTAAAATTTCAGCCTCCTTACTTTTTTGGTTCCCGAGATAAAAATTTTCCCCGCCAAAACTTTCCTGAGGCCGTACATGAAACCTGAGTATGCGGAGGAAAGGGGGCTGAATAAAAATTTCCTGGATCGAAGGTGCGTAGGGGGCATTATCTTAAAATTTCAACTTCGCAGCTTTCGCGGTTCCCAGGGCAATAATTTCCGCACCAAAACATTGGAGGAGTCGTACGTGGTACTTGCGGGCAAGTGAAGGCCGTACTTGATAACCCAGGGTAAATGGAAGCTGAATTCAAACCGGAGAGGTCGTACCCAGCCAGGAAAATTCTATTAAAGAATTTTCAGCTTCCTAGCTTTCGGTCTGAGACAATTTTTCCCGCCAAACGTTTGTGGGGTCATACGTGGTACTCACAGGCAATTGAAGGTCGCACTTAAGCTTGCGGAGTTGCACGTGGGTGGGAGACATTCTACCAAAATCTCAGCATTCTAGCCTTCGTGGTTCCCGAGGTAATAATTTTTCCCGCCAAAACTTCCGCGGAGTCATACGGGTACCCGCAGGTAACTGAAGGCCTAATTTAAGTTTATGGGGTCAAATGTGGCGGGGAACATTCTAGAAAAATTTCGGTGTTCCAGCTTTCGTGGTTTCCAAGATATTTTCCCCACCAATACTTTGGCGGGGTCATACGTAGTACCCGCGGGTAACTGAAGGGCGAATTTAAGTTTGCAGGGTCACACGCGGACGGGGAACATTCTTGCAAAATTTCAGCGTCTCAGCTTTCGTGGTTCCCGAGCTGGAAGTGTGAGACAAAACAAAACACACACACAGACATGCACACGCACACGCGCACACGCACACACGCATACACACACACACAACCTCGTGACAATATGCGTTTTGTACTGCTGTTACACAGCACAAAACGCATAAAAATGAAACACGAGCAAAGCCTGTAGTAAATCCTAGTATCGTAATGAATGAACTGAATTTTTACAGCTGCATAAAGCGGAATATGATTTTATAGTATTCGACATGGTTTAAGTTCGATAACCTTTTATCTGCGCACCTTCAGAAGCTTATGTTGTTGGAGTGTTTCACGTGAAACATTCAACGGCAGATCATCGGAATCCACGATTCCACGGATGAACGATAAGTACTTGGGCATCATATCGTGGAAATCATCTGTTATAAATACACGACGAACATACAGTTTGATATTGTCAGTGCCCTTAAATACGGTTAACTTTGCTGAATGCAAAGTGTTAGGACATAAATCAGAGAAATCCCGCGATTAATAAAAAAAAATCTCATGACCTCGAGACCGAGTCCGCCACTACAGCAACAACGAGCTTACCTTGCCGTAGTTCTGGAACATATCGTACGGGCTATGTCTCGGAACATAAAGAATTGATTTGAATGTGACTTCACCTTCTGCGGTAAAGTGTACGTACGCCAGCGGTTTTTCACGGTCCTAGAAACATAATATATTTGAATCAAATCACTCAGCACACTCTACAGCGTGGCTTTTTCACTCCGTTAATAATGTGAAGAATGCTTGATGCAAAAACATGATTTTTACTTCATTTGGAGAGTGACTTCGAGTGTTATCGAAGCACGTAATGCGCCAAATGGAAGACCTGCTCACTGATGGCTGCTATCAATGATAAGAAAATAGCTTCAAAAATTTTACTAGCATTATTTTGCACAACACCTCAAAAAAACGAGGTAGAGATACCTGTGAGAAAGACACAAAAGTAAAAAACCAGCCTTAGTGATGCTCTTGTAGAACTCATTGTATTCCTCGACTTCAACGTCATCATTCTTTCGCATCCAGATTGGCTTCACATTATTCACTTTTTCCCAGTCCCAAGTAGTCTTTTCAATTTTCTTCATTTTCGGTTCACTCTTCTCATCTTCCACCTTCCCGTCAACATCCTCCGCCTTTTCTTCATGTGATTCCGCTTTCGACACTTCCTCCACCGGCTCCTCCACCGTCTCGGTCTGAAAAATCACTGCTGCGTGCGGATATTACGATTTACAGCCGCAAGAGCGCACGAAAAAATAAGTTTACCTTTGACTGCCACAAGAAGATGTTGAAATTGATGAACTGACTGTACTTCTCGACCAAACTTTTCAGGGTATCAGCTTCTAAGAAGTCATACGCTTCTTCCTTCAGATGCAACGTGACTTGTGTGCCCCTCTTCAAGGTTGCGCCTCGAGGATCTTTTACAACTGTGAATCTGCAACTGGACATCGTGAACTGACGCACTCAACAGTTCGAAAGTATTATTTAGCGAAAATTTTTTTCAGAGATGAAGACTTTTTCCATCAAATTTCAGTTCAAGAGAAGATCAGCTTCGGGCTAGCGTAAATTGCTGTTACAGCAAGAGTCACCTTACAGAAAGACGAGGCACTGACTGGCCGAAACGCCTAAATGCTTCACGCTATAAGCATTCGCCGCTCAGCAAATGCTGCTGCCGCTTTTCGTACGGTAATGGAAACTTACGAAGTGCTGTCCGATTCCCAGATGTACTGATCGTCATCATTGTGTTTTGAAGTGACGACAACATGGTCGGCGACAAGGTAGGACGAGTAGAAGCCCACTCCGAACTGTCCGATCATGTCCTGCTGCTGCTCCACAGAAGTCGACGAATCCAGCAACTTCGCCAAGAATTCCGAAGTGCCTGAGCGCGCAATGGTACCAAGGTTGTTAATAAGATCCATTCTTGTCATTCCTGTTCCAGTATCTATCACATGCAACACATGATTTTCAACATCCGCCTGAAATGCAACACTGCATTTACGTTTTTCCGGCAACCCATAAGTTCAGCGACTGAGTAACCTTTATGCGAATCGACAGTTCATCGGTTGCCGACAAAACTGAAGGATCCGTTAACGACAATAAACGAGTTTTGTCCAGCGCATCGGAAGCGTTCGAAATCAGTTCACGGAGGAAAATTTCTTTATTTCTAAATGAAAAAGATGTGCAGACAGCTTCGATTACATACCAATATGCTTGGAAGGAGCGTCACTTACTTGTACAGGGAGTTGATGATCAGCTTCATCATACGATTGACCTCAGCCTGGAACTGATGCTTCTCCGCCTTTGCCCTCAACTCCTTCACCTCCGCCACCGACAAGCCATCCAATTTTATCGCTTCCTCCTCCCTGTAACAGTGTTTTTCGGACAAGTTTTCAAGAAATGTGCGTGCAGCAACTCAGCCACCAACCTCTGAATCACTTCATCGTCCGTTTTGGACGCTTCCCTAGATTTTCCAATCTCCTCTTTCACCGTGCCAGCATCCTTCTGTGCGCTCACCTTAAGCCTGATGTTCGAGAAGAAGGCTGAAAAAGTCCAGTGCACGATAATAAGATAAGAAACTATTCCTATTTTCGCACTAGAAGGGCTCCAGGGTAGCGCAGTTGACCACTGGCCACCACCAGCACATCTTAAGCTTGTAAATACACAAAAATGCTAAACTTTCAACTGAGACAATTATTTTAGCAATGTAATAACAGGTACGTACAGAAGGCCAGGAAGATCACTGTAAGAATGACGAGGCTTGCCGAAAAGTGCCCCTTCATTGATGACCAGCGCAAGCGTCCTGCGTGGTGGAGCTGCCCAACAAGACGGAAATACCCTGCAAATATAGTAACGGTCTCCTTAGGCCCATTAATATGCAGCATTCTCTAAGCTTGCAAGTGATGCCTTAAAGCAGATAACATGCGATTCCAAACCCAGGCAACTACTAAAACTCGGCTCGATTGCGCAATAAGCACTTATTTTTGGGATCCGGGTCCAACTGCGAAAATCGTGCTAACGGGTTTTTGTTTAGGTGAAGTTCGAGGTGTCCCGTTTAAGATTACTGATTTCTCCCCCTCCCCCGTAACAAGAAGTTTCACGCTGTGCATAAAAAGCCCACGTAAATTCCTCCTCTACAGACCCTGCTCCTGTTTCTAGTCCCTATCTTCAGTCAAGGTCTCAGCTCATTTCCAGCCAATAACCTCGCCCCCTTGCCCGAGACTTAACAGTCGCCTCCGGAGCTCACCTCCTTCCCATTCCCTCTCTCGTCGCCCTGGGCTCCTCAGGCATCGCAGCTCGCCTACCGGCGACTTGGCCGAGCTGAGCCGAGGTATACTTTAACGATTGCCGAATAAAGTGCGGAAGAAGCCAGCGAAGGGAGCGGCAGGGTCGGCGAAGTTCGCGCTGAATGCCGTACAATAGTATGAATGAGTAGCGCCCGAGCAGTGTGACCAATCGCCGAACTCTCCACCCATCCACCCCCGGGCACTGAGCGACCGAGTAAAATCTGATTGGTTGGCCCGCTTCCAGCAACGTGTACTTCCGCGCCAGCACCTGTGGCAACCCCCTGTCCGAACGGAAAATTTCATTTCACATTTCACAGATCAGGTCTTTTTTGTGATGAGCAGTGATTCTGGACGCACGACACCGCCAGCACCTCGCTTCCCAACGAACCTGTGAAGGCGAGTCACTGACCAAGGGCTACCGGTCACAGATTTACGCATCTCGGGCTTTTGAATACATTTAAACAAATAAATCTTAAAGCATATGCCATACTGCACGGCTAAACAACAGAACCAAATCAGTGATTCGGAGGTCAGCGTGAAGTGGTGCCTTAGTGGTAAGTGACTCGCCTTTACAAGCGTCTTGTTCAGAAACGAAACCTTGCGTCAGTTGCACGTTCCGTTTTTACATTCTAGCTCACCGCATCAACTTGAGCAACTCTGCCCTCAAACAGACTCGAACTCCGCTAAACTGTTCTGAGCTCAGTTCAGCGCTGTAATAATGGGCAAGAATTTCACTCCAGCGGATGGGTCAAAAGACAGTTGATTAGTACAGGCACTGTCTGCGTTTGTTAGCACAGTTGGATGTGCAACGAGAACAGTCTGTTGAAAAAAAAATGCCGCTCTGGCCCTCGTGCCAGGCAAATGAGATATGACGTGCTAGCTATCATAATGACTGCAGTATGAAGTGTCGAAACAGCAACGAAACGAGCCCAAAAAGCGAAGACGTGTATGCGCAGTGTGAATGGCAACAAAGAAGCTAAAATTAGCTCGGAAATGAAGGGGGCAGGGACAGGCGCACTCACCGCAAAGCAGCTTCCCGGAGAGAGTATAAAAGCCAACTGACCGTTTGCTGAGGATCGCAATGCGAACTAAACAATGCAATGCAAACAGTATTACATTTTATAGAAGTCTTCCACAGAAACCTTCATTAGGCAAATTTTCCAGTCCCATTTGATTATGCAGTGTTTTGGGAAAATAGTGCAGAAATGGAGCAGATTTTTGCTCATTGACATCCTGGAACAGCCCACCGGTTTAATTGCCGATTAAAGCACTGTTCCCTGAAGATGAGATGCAAACCAACTCTGACAACATTCTTCTTTCCTTCTCGCCGGGCTGAATCGTTTTACCATCTCTCTAGGTTACAGTGTGTTCGGCACTTCACAATGTTTCGTACCAATAGAATTCCAAGAGAAAATGGCTAATGAGTTGATCCCTCGGTAGAGACGTACAACTTTAGTTGCCAATCCTACAGCCGGTGCTTTCTGCTTTTCATGTTTACACCGTACCGCATTTTATTATGTGCGTTGGTTTCTTGCGTTTTGTACATTGTTGCGTAACTTTTCCTAATCACTGAGCAGGTGTGTAACACGTCCGGACTATCCAAGTTTAGCTGAACAGAATGTGACTCAGCTTAGAGATGCCAGCGTTTGTACCCCGTTGTACTTCGATACTACCTAGTTCGTCCCCACTCCACATTACGATGGGTGCTTGGATCGAAGATTTGCTGGAGTTGGGATGGACGTGGAATTAAAAGTGAAATGCACACCCCGTACTCTCCGTGCGTTTGTCCTCGATCTACGGTAACAAACTGGTAGAGGAAGAACCGGACGGCGCTGTCGCGGAATAAGATGGTCCTCTCAATATGCAAATGCTCATGGACAGTTTCTGATAAAACTGACCAGACTTCGCTGAGACACCATTAACATATGTGCAAGATGAAGCTCGTCGCAGCATGAAGGTGCTGAAACGATTTTGCTCGGCACGGGAGACCAGAAAAGAAATACTGGCGGGATTAGGTTTACTGGTGGCAGAAAATGGTTTTCGCAAACAATCTTAGAGCTTCATCTGTCTTGGATCCTTGTAAAATCTAATAAAACCCTTCAATAGCTAAAAAATTCTTAGCCGAACTGGAATCAATACTGCTGATTTAAAATGTAGTGAGGATCTGGGCCTAATGACATGGGCCCGTTAAAAAGAGAGGAATAACAGAAAGCTGCTTTTATATCTTTCACACTGCATAAAATGAATTTCCGGATCGATTCTAAATCAGCTCGAAATTGAATCGCAGTCATAGGTCAAGACAGAGAAAGTGCTGAATGCTTATTTTAGCTTCCCAGCTCTGGCTTTATGCCGGATGTTGATTTCATCTTTCTGGCTCCTACATTTCTCGAGCTCAAATTATTCGGGCAGGCAAACCAACACATGTTCTCGTATTCTTGTACAGGTCAGTGTCACATGCTCATTTTCACGCTGTATGCTCCGAAGCATTTCCGCAACAATACATTTGTCGTGGGAATGCTCCAGACATTATGACATTGATTTGTACGAGAACACAAAAATATCTTTCTGCATTTGTTCTCTTTATGGAGAAAGACCCGATTAAAATGGTGTGTCTGAATAAGTGTAACACCGCGTACGAGGTGGTTATGCATTTTTGCGATGAATTGCTTCGCGCAGTCAGAGAGGATGCAAGCGTACTTCTTCACGGTCACCTTTTTTACTTGCTCGTAGCACTGAAAGTGCTAAAATCTCCGAACTATCGACTGCTTGGTGCAGGGATTATTATCTCAGCTGGCGTTCGAATGAGGAGTAAAGCTAGGGATGAGAGCACAAGGAATTCTGATTTTAGGCCAACCCGTCTCCATGCTCTGTGTGTTCCAAACCCTGAAATCCTAAGCCTGTTGCTCATCCACACTAAAATTATCAGTTTAAGCTTGAAGCTGGACTTGAAACTGCGTGGTGCGCGAAATAGTAGAATTTGAAATCTAATGCTCAACTGTTCGTACTGTTTCTTCTGCTTACGTCTGGGTCTCATGCACGAACACGTGAGAATTTTGACAAGAAAATCGCTGATTCGGAAACCAGAAAAACCAGAAAGTTGAAATTTTAAGTGAATATTTCACGTCTACGTGCTATCCACAGACTTCAAATTCAGCTAATTCGCTTCCTTGCGTCTCACGTAGAGGCAGATGAAAGTTTTGGCGGGAGAGTTACTAACTCTGGGATCAGAAAGGTTAAGAATTTCAGGAGGATGTTTTCTGCTCTCGTGTGAAGGGCAGCTGGCAGCAAAACGCATAATCGCAGCAGCCTCCCTAGTGCGCGCCACTGCTAGGTCTTCGTTTCCGTGCTGTGTCACTGCCGCAAAATTCATGGCGCTGGCATCTTTGATTCATGCAAGAACGCGCAGAAATGACTCTGAATGCTGCGTGTTTTCATTTGGGCGACAGTGACGTGAAATGAGGGTGAGTGCAGCTCGGTTGCCTTTGGCACACTGTAGATGCTGGTGTGGCTCTGCGTCGGGCCGAACTCATCTCCGTCTGACAGCCAGGCTTCTCCGAGCGCCATGCCACACTCCCCTTCCCCTTGCAGACGGCATTCGGATTGCACGTGTGCCGTATGCTTGGCAGTCTGCCAAACAGCCCCCCTCCCCCCCACCCTACCGGCATTATTCATCCGGGCTGCAGATGCACAGCGCGGCACAAAAGAAATCTGCCTCCAGGCGCGAAAGCAGCACGCAGGACCTACGCCCACCCGGTACCCAAACTCCATCGATCGGCCGCCGAGCTTCACGTCTCCCAACCCCGCGCTGTGCTCCCACGCTCTCCGCGACTCTCCACACCCCACCTCCTCCGCAAAAGCAGTGCTATTTCTCACATTCTGTTGACGCTCTTCAAAGGCCATCGATTCCCGACTCTCTTCTGGAGCGGTCCTGTTTCGTAGTGGCCTCTGAGGTGCACGCTTGTGGAGCTGGTTGGTGGAAGGCGCCTGTTGCGTTGGCTCGGATTGCGGTTGTCTGGTGTGGGCAGGTTCCGCTGTGTGTGGTTGGGTAGACGTTGCGGGGTTGTGGGTAATTTCCTGGGCTTGTGCTCCCTGGCCGCACGGCTCAGCGGCTGCTGGTGGTGCGTGGAGTGCTGCGAGCTTCTTTTTCATCATCTCTGGATGTGACGGGATTTCATGGCCGTTGTTGTGTTGGGCTTTTGTGCCGGCGAATGCGTTACTGGGCTTGCCGCTGCATGGGGAAGCAAGGGCCGGCAAGCGCATTCCGGGGCCGTGCTTCGCCTGTCTCGCTAACTGTTGCTGTTGCAGCTGAAGGACGGTGGTAC